ACTCTATGTAAACCTTGTCCTTGGTCCTTGACCTCCCAGCCTTATTTGAGCATTTGCACTAGAAGCAGACAGACTTCTCTTGAATGCCAGCCTGGTATTTCTCATTCAACCATCCAGAACCAACATCACTAGAGCACAAAGGCGAAATTGGAGTGAGGCCCACAAATAAGTAGATCTGACTTAGGAAAACAAAATACTAGGGATCGCCAACAGAATAACTTCACTGGAATCATAACACATAAGGCCAGACAGTAAGTAGGACAGCTCCTACCTTGAAGAACCTTGGTTCTTCCCTCTTCTACAAACCTGCTATGTGACCTTGGGTAAGTAACTCCATCTCTGGGATCTGTTGTGCCACTAGTTGGATCAGTTCCAATCAGTAATGCCCAGAATGCCCCAGAGAGCTTAAGTATACACTCTTCCAAATATTCAGATGGAGATCTGGAGGCCTAGGATCACATTTACAAGAGGCTCTGAGGGCATTTCCTGGACCCAAAAATGTTAAGTAGATGGTCTTGAAGCCAGTTCCTCCCACTGCGGACCTTCCTTCTGTGTGGGACTGGGGGAACAGAAGGCAATCAGGAAATGCTGGCTGCTAAGTCAGCTCTGTCCAGAGATGTAGCCATTAAGAGTAGCCAGATGGCAGGTGGCAGGGAGGTTAGGGAGGGTTCTATTTGCCTTGTCGCTCAAACAGCACCTGTTGAACTCAGGTGGACAAAAGGAAACCTCGATGCTCACATGGCAGGCAAGAACCCTGTCCTGTCCTTGGCTTCCTTCCCATTGCAGGCAAGTCACTCTTTGAAAGTAGCAAAATGCAAGGGTTTTTTTGTTTTGTTGGAGGTTTCATATTTTCAAATTTCAGGTTTTTTCTCAGAAAAATCTCCAAGTTAAGCCATAGTGGTGGCTTTGATGAGAAACCACAGGCTGCAGTGTTTGGATGTTTGGTCCCTTGCTGGTGGCACTGTTAGGGGAGGTAGGACCTTGCGGGAGGGCGTGGCTTTGGGAGCTTATAGCACTGCTCCACTTCCAGTTTGCTCTCTGCTTTGTGCTTGTGGGTAGGATGTGAACTGTCAGCTTCCTGACCTGCCAGCCCGCCATGATGAACTCGTCCCTCTGGAACTATAAGCAAAAATAAACTGCCTTCTAGAAGTTGCCTTAGTCATGCTATTGCATTATAGCACCAGAAAGTAACTAATATGGCCATACTGTATTCACCGTTCTTGGACAAACAGCTCTCCTGTGAGAACATGCACTGTAGCAGCTGCCCTATCTCATTGCCCATCAGGCCCCTGAGAAGCAGGTATTGCAATTCTCCACTTTAAAATGTAGTTGGGGTAAGACAGAACAGACAGTTGGACACAGCCTGACCCTGACGACCGGGAGTTGCCTCTGGGCCTCAGGTTTTCACCTATGTCAAGACATTAAGAAATCAGTGTGTATTTATAGCAAAGTTGTTGCAGAGGTCACTGACCCTGTGGAGGCTCATTAGAAACAAGAATTCCTTTAGTCACTGAAAAAATACTGTTGGATAGTTGTCAGTAAGGATAAACATTACCTATTGTGACCCATTGTAAACATCCCCCTAATGGAAATGAAAAGATAGGCCCTCAAAAATATTTGCATAAGAGGATTAAGCGGTGTAGCTCAGCAATAATGCACATACATAGCAGGCATAAGGCTCTGGGTTTGGGTCCCACACCACCAGAACTAACAAGCAAGCAAATACCCATACTCATGCAAGATACAATGCAAAGTCCTACCAAGAGGAGTACAAATTAATAGAAATGTAGTGTTTATAAAATGGAATGTTATTCAGTTATTTAAAAAACAAACTGTACATGTATTTGTGAATGTATTTGTGTGTGAATGTGTACGTCACATGTGCAGGGTGCAGGTCATCATGAAAAAGGAGAAAAGTAACCTTATTTTTTTGGTGGTGGTGGGGGACAGGGTTTCTCGGTGTGACAGTCCTAGCTGTCCTGGAACTAACTCTGTAGACCAGGCTGGCCGCAAACTCAGAGATCTGCCTGCCTCTGCCTCCCAAGTACTGAGATCAAAGGTGTGTAGCACCACCATTCTTCATATCTTAAGAATGAAAAGAGAGAATAATGCAATGCATGTGGATGAAAGCAAAGGTCAGCAAGAAATAAATGACAAAAAAAAAAAAAAAAAAAAAAAAAAAAAAAAGAAGTAGCAAGATACTTATATATAAAGATACTATAATGGAACCCATTGCTTATATGCTAACTTATCATTTTTAAAGAAGTATTGAAAATTTAAAACATAAAAATATGGACGAGTTTGAAGGCACTAATGAGTCAAAGAAGAAAGATCCAATATGGCATATATGTGAACAAGACCTTATAAAACCAATGCATGGTAACAGATACAAGACTGCTTCTGTGAGGAAGGGATTCTGCACTGGAACTGGAATAAAGGAACTTTTAGGAGCGGTACTGTGGTCTGTATGTCTATTTAGCTGATAGTTAAAAGGATGCATATGCCAAAACTCATTAATTTGGTAAATGGGGAGATGGCTCTATGGTTAAGAGCACTGGCTGCCCTTCCAGAGGACCCAGGTTCAATTGCCCAACTACATGGCACCTTACAACCCTCTGAAATTCCAGTCCCAGGGGATCTGATGCCCTCTTCTGGTCTCTGTGGGCACTGTAAGCATGCACAGATATCCATGCCAGAAAACGCTCAAAGATAAAAATATTATTTTAAAACCTCCTTAATTTGTACATATTATGCATAAAATATTGTTTTTCTGTGGGGCTTTTTTTTTTTTGTCTTTTGTTATTTGGATAAGTCTTGCTATGTAGTGACTGGCCTGGAACTCAGGTCTCCTAAATCAGCATCCTGTGTGTTAGGACCACATGTGTGCACACCTTGCTTCCCATACATTAGTGATGACCGAGGTGCACATTTTTATCTGCACATGGTACTGGTATTAGAACATACTTCACAGAACTGCAATTAGGAATAAGTATTAAACATCCAGCAGCTTCCGGTGCAGCATAATTTTATACTGTCCTGCAGAACCAACCATGGCCTTAGCATGGGTGGCTGTATGCCATAAAAAAAAGGAAGACAGCGAAGAATGTATTTGACTCTTCAAGGGTTTTCAGGTCTTTGTTTTTCAAGGCAGATTTCTCTGTGTAGCCTTGGCTGTCCTGGAACTGGCTCTGTAAACCAGGCTGGACTCACAGAGACCCACCTGCCTCTGCCTCCCAAGTGCTGGGATTAAAGGTGTGCACCACCAACGCCCAGCAAGAGTTTTCAGGTCTTGATTGCTTGACTGACCCTTGCGTCTGTAACATGATCCAGGAAAAATAACTCTTCCTGTCCTAAACATTTACAGATGAAAATACGTAAAAGAGCCAAATATGGAGAACACTTACTTCAGAACTGTTCCATTTTCTTGACATCTTCCCAAAGTACGCTTTATACTTGTGTCCCGATGGTGCCTGAAGCACACAGGGGAAGCACCCGGCTCCAGCTCTCTAGTGAACCACAGAACTGTACCCCAGGAGTCAGATTCAGGGAATGCCAGATCAGAGGGGCTGCCAGCCCTAACTTCTGCCCAAACAGGCAAAGACCAAAGGCTTGATCTCTACTTTGGAATGGACAAGCCATTACCCACTGTATGGACAAGCCATTCTCGGTATCTATAATCTGTATCTAATGCCTGGCTTACTGAAAAGCTGCGAAGGGAAAATTGTTCTTATAGCACACATTTAGAATTAAATACTGTTGCCTCTAACATAGCACTGTGGGTCAAAGTAAGAGCTACCTAAATGAAAAGTATCCTTCATCTTTTGTCCAATTGCAGTTGAAGATACTAGGCATCTGGGATTACTAACACCAAGGCTTTTTTTTTTTTTCTTTTCTTTTTTTTAACATTAACAGATCTATACAATTTTTCTGCCCCCTAAATTCAAAAGCCAAAAATCACATATACCTTCAGACTTGCTGCTTTGCCTTTGTAACCAACAGCTCAGGAAAGTATCATTAAGAGCTGCGACCTGTTTGGCAGAGGCATCTCCACTATTCCTCCTCCCTCACAGCATAACTCTGGGGTCTCTCAGTTCCTGTCACCCACGTGTGTCAATCGAGAACCCCCAACACCGCTCTGTGACTAGAGATCTGAAGACTATATAGGGACACATATACAAAGCAGACAAGGTAAAATTATTAAATAGTTTTATTATTTCCTCCTTCATATTGCTGATAGTAGCCCGGGTTTAAGCATGTTAGAAAATTTAAAGAGAACAACTTTTGGCTTACATAACGCATATATAAAAATATCTATTCAGAAAACAATATCTGATAATTACACTGCTCAGCCAACTTTGAAAAGGCCAAAAAACAAAAACTCACCAAGATATAATAAAAATACCTGCCAAATGAATGAGGAGGCAAGATAGCTTTGTTAAAGTTTTATTCATTTTGGCATTTTAGGGAACCGATCTGTGCTGATGAAATTTAAGTCAAAGTTATGGTCAGATAATACAAGTGAAAATGTGCAGCTACTTAAAGGCATTCTTCAAACAAAACCTGCTTTGTGCTTAGAAGAGTTAACAGCAATAAAGATTACAAAACTCCCCAGCTTTCCTAGTAACCATTCGACAATAGGAAGAGGTAGCAAAGTGGAGTGTAGTATACTAAGCACTTACATGAAAAAAATATCAGCACAGTGAGAGCCATACTTAATTACCTTCTCTTAAAACCCCAAAGCATAAAATATCTGCTTCCTGGTCACAGCTTTAAGCCATAATCAATGACCCAAATAGCTCTTGTTCACCAGGTACTAGAACAGTATGAAGTAAGTGCTTGTTAGAAAAACAGTATGAAGTGCTAGTACTCGGGGTACCCACTGCTCACTGCAGCCTCATGTTGAAGCAGCTAAGGGAGATATCACTACCAAGGAAAATGCAAAGTGGCCAGAAAAACAAGGATGCCCTCATACACCAGAGTGCCAAGGGCAGACAGGGAGCTTCTTGTGCAAGAGATGTAATCTGTGATTCAAAGTGCCCATAAACAAACAGGATACAGTGCGGACTTTTTCAGTGCAAAGGCAAGTACGGTCCTGCTACTTCGTGCAGTATTCAACATGGACAAGCAGGTCTCGATGTTCGTTGGCTGGGTACTGTACACTGCACTTGGGACATTCCACCAGGCTTTCGTTGAGTGCAGCAGTGGGACTTCTGGGTGAGGTACCTTTCATTCTGTTTTCAGGCTCTCTCTGGAGTGGGAATGACTGCTCTGTGAAGGCAAAGCCATGAAGCTGCTTCTGCAGAACAAATTTCAAATGCACACGTTTGAGCATAATATAGTGTTCAGCAGCTTTAACTGCTTTGTGCATCTCTGCATGCTTCAGCCCTACAGACAGCTTATTTTGGATTTCTGCTCATTATTATTCTAATGGTAACATTTGAGGCAGTCATAAATAAGATGGATATTATATTAATTATTCAGGAAAGTAGTGAGTTAGTGCTCATAAAGATAGGCTTTGCTAACAGGCATAGAGTCAAATGTAAAGGGAAGACTATCCCTTTTTAAAATTGTGTACAAAATGGGATTCCTCATGACATTTTCAAGAGCGTGTATATATTTGCCAGTATTGTAAAAACAGAAGTAACTTAAGGAATAAAGAAGTGCAAAGTTCCCAGCACCCAGGAGGTTGAAGTGGGAAGATGGAGATGTTCACTGGGGAGTGTTTCACACCCTGGAGAGTGAAACCATGATGCAAAGAGAGAGAGAGCAGCAACAAAACTCTACACAGAATAGAGAGCAGCAGAGAATTCCAGTAGCTCAGATAGGTTATATACACAGATGAACAAAATGCTACATACCTTTGAGACTCTCCTGCTTCATTTTTTTAAAAATAGAATTTAGAATAGTCAAGAAAGCTTAAACATTCATATTTTATAGCACATTATGAAGATATGTATGTATTTATTTATCTGGTGGTTTTTCAAGATAGGGTTTCTCTGTGTAGCTTTGGAGCTTGGCCTTGAACTCAAAGATCTGCCTGCCTGCCTCTGCCTCCTGAGTGCTGTGACTAATGGCGTGTACCAACACCACCTGTCAAAGATATTTATTTTAATAGCATACAAATTGTTACTTTAACAATTGCTTCCCCCCCCCTTAGAAATTATAACTTATATTTACACTATTTCCCCATTTCCAAGTATTCTGCAGTTCTAGGACAATATATGAATGTGCACTAATGGGAGGGACTTCTGGGCACATTCACAGACACATAAATGCACTAAAATTCATTAGAAATATGAAAAAAAGAATGCCACGATGCTCTATTTCCTACTTTCTGCCTTTTATGCAAGGCACTGTTGGACAGCTCTAGAATGGTAGCAGTCAGCTTGGTTGGGAGACACCAGTATAGTAACTATGAGCAAAAGTATCATAACGCCCCTCCTTCTGAGTCCTAGATTGACGTAAGGTTAGGCGTCACATAGGGGGCAACTACTGATCAGAGAACTGAGCTGACTCATCAATGGGGAGGTAGCAAAAAAAGAATGAAGGATAACTTTTATTAGCCACTCAAAACTTACCAAGGATTCCAACTGTGTTATTTGACTTCTTGCTTTTCGGAGTTCCTTAAGAATCACATATAGTTGGTGCTGCATATTCTGGCGGTCAAGTTTTTCATTTTCAAAGTCTAGAGTACATGCCTGCATCTGGAATATGTCAAGACAAAGCAGTTAGAGCTGGTAGATCCTACCCAGTTCTCATCACTGAATACTTTGACTTCATCAGTACAAGAGAATACTTGCTGAGTCTGCTTATCAAGAACTCATCTGAGCACAGCAAGATTATTAATTAGCAAATGACCAGGTAGTGGTGGCACACACCTTTAGTGCTGAGGGGCAGAGGCAGGCAGATCTATGAGTTTGAAGCCAGCCTGATCTACAGAGCTAGTTCCAGGATAGCTAGAGTTTATTGTACAGAGAAACCTCATCTCAAAAAAAAAAAAAAAAAAAAAAAAAAAATAACAGTAAAATTATTAGTAAATGAAGTTTATGGCTAAAGAGCTGGTTTATGAACTAGCAAACCAAAACCTAAGGTATTGATGAGTGGAGGGCAGCTTAAGAAGTTACTGGTTAGAGTTATTCCATCACATTCTTAGAATTTTTGGTGGGGGATGGGAGATAGCCACTCTCTATTTTGAAATACATTAAGAAATTCTACTATACATTCTGAGAATGAATGGCATCCACTCTGCTTGAACTCACAGGGTACTTAGTGAGAGATCCTATAAGGGTAGAATAGAAACTACAGTCATGGGAGAGCCACATTTGCCAAAGCCAAGCTTTCAGAAAAGCTCCCACCATGCCTCTGAATCGGTTGAGCCTAAGAACAGTTTCAGAATACGTGAATGGTACAGTCTCTAAGAAAACATGTGTGTTAGTCTTTTAAAACATTGCATTTTACAACTTTCAAATAGTTCTCCACAGAACAGTATAAATACCAGAGGAAGTTTTAGCAGCTCAATGAACTTTCAAGCATCCACAGAAGTACCTGCTGCTCCAGCAGAGCTACCCTGGTCTGTTCCTCTTGGTGCTTTAACAGAGACTCGTAGAGAATGCGGACCTGGAGGATACAAAGAGAACGGGCATTACCTCATCTGCCTGTTCTCACTAGGGCAGACAAGAAACCTACATCGAAAGTCCCACCTCTAACCAGGACAACGCCTACTGAGCGGATGACTCATTGCAGCTGGCTATCTGCGGCCTTCTGCTTAAGCAGGATGAGCAGTATCATCCTGAGTTCCCTGAGAAGCCAGACAGAGTGATGGACACAGCTCTGTGTGGCCACCCCCCCCCCTTTCCTGGAGGTTTTGCTATCAGCCATTGTTTCAGAGCAGGATAACAAAGAGGGTGTGCCTCATCTACATACAGAGCTAGAGCAAAATTTACTTATTTTTATTTAACCTTTCCAAAATGTCACCACTCACACTTAGAGGTCAAAGTTAGCAATGTGAACAAGAAGGAAGAAAATATTAGGATTACTGACTCTTCCTCAGCTCTCAACTTCTGCAGGATATTAAAAATTACAATGATTGTAGCAACAACCTCCACTGGCATCTACTGAGTTTACGAAGCGCTTTCATATTGCTCAGTTGCCCCATACAACAGCCTTCTGAGGCAAGTAGAGATTATTATTCATTTGACTAGTGAATGCTGTGTGAATCAGAAGACAGTTGATTTGCTGCAGGCCATGTAGTCTAGAGTCCAGGTGTGAATTCCAAACACTGTTCTATGGGTTTCTATGTTCTTTCTAAGGTGCTCTGGGAATTCATCTGAACACACTGCCTTTACTTCCCACATAATCTACCTCTTCACTCATGTGATGTTCTCCACTGAAGGGGAACTCCCAGAGTCACTGTGCAGGATCCCACCATCAAGTCTCTAAACACCATCACTTCCATGAATGAGGCCGCCACAGACCCTGTTTCTTCATCTCACATCACCATTGACTTGGGTAATAACTCATGGTCTGCCTCCTGCTACACTATGAATGCCCAAAGGAGGCAGGGACTGTTCTGCTCCTTGCTGGCTCCCCAGTGCTCTGGGCTCCCTGACCCTCGGTGGAAGTGTGAAGAACAGAGAGCTCAGAGGCTGGCTCACCTGAGATAAGAGCTCTTCAGACTTTTTCCTCTCCTCTTCCAGTTTCCCCTTGAAGATACTGCTCTCTTCCCTGAGTTTCTGGATCTTCTCTGTCTTATGTCTATCCTCTTCCAGGTGTTGTATGTCTGCCTTTCGTTGCGAACTCAATAGCTGATTTAAATCGTCAACCTCTTTTTGAGTTTCTTCATATTTTCTTCTAAATTCATCAAGTTCTGAACGCAACTGAGTTATGGTTTGTCGTTCGACTTCAAGATCTTTTTTGGCACTTTCCAATAGATGATCATATTTTTGTTTCTCCTCTCTATGATAACCTGTAACAAACAACATTAAGACACAATGCATTTTGTAATATTCCAAGAAATTAAACCTCCAAACATATTCCTACAAATGAGACCTCAACATTTCTTCAGCTTATAAAATGAAGTCAAGAGGTGGGGGCTGTGACTGGCATTTGAGATGTGTAGTGATATATATTATTTACGATTTATTAAAGCTTGATTGACTAAAGATTCAGAAAAGCAAAGTCAGCCTCAAGCTATGGTACACACCTTTAATCCTAGGACTCAGGATTAAGAGAAACAGATCTCTGAGTCCAAGGCCACCCAGATCTACACAAGAGTGAGTCAGTCTAAAAGAGAATTATAGCTCACATTTTTAATCCCAACATCAGGGAAGTATGTAAGACAGCAGCAAGGTCTCAGTAGAGGTATTCATTCTCCAGCCACACGGAGGAGAGGCACCAGTTTGAGACTTAGTGAAGAGCTGCTCATTCATAGATCAATCAGCCCCTTCAGCCTGAGCTAGAGGTGAGAGCTAGTGGCTGGCTGCTTTGCTTTTCTGATATTCAACCTTAAGTTTGAACCTCAATATCAGTCTCTGAGCCATTTATTATTATTTTGTGTGTGTGTGTGTGTGTGTGTGTGTGTGTGTGTGTGTTACATATATGATAGATCTTTTCTTCCTAGCTCACTACTGTTGAGCCTATTTCTTTATCTGTTAATTGAGACCCTTCTGGACCCACCTCCTAAGAGGTGTTGTCTAACTCAGGAAATCAGTGTAAGGAAAACTGTAGAACATTGGGCAGAGAGACAGCATCATGGGTAACTACTCCAAGCAGAATTAAATGGTCAAGGCATCATCTACATAGCCTGTTCTTTCTCCTGGAGCTGATATAAAAGCCAAAGGCAAGCAAAACAGAGTGACAACTGATGTCCACCTATAATTCTAGCACTCAGGAGACTGAGACAAGAGGACTACTCTGAATTGGAAGCTAGCCTGGGCTAAATTTTAAGTACCAGGCTAGCCAGGATTATGTGACAAAACCTTATCTCAATTCATCATCCAACCCATCTACCCACCAAAAAGGAAACGTGCCTAAGTCAGCTCTGGAGGGGCTGAGAAGAACTTTGAAAAAGGGGGAAGGTGTGCATGTAGGGGAAAATCCCCACGACTTCAGAACTCTGTGATGGATACTCCCTCACCTGTGGCCTCATATCTGAAAACAAGGAGAAAGGAAACAGACTTGCCAAATGCTATTTCTCACTTCAAGCTTAAAGGACATGATGTTATTTTACTTCCTAACATGTATCTACCAAAAAAAAAAAAAAAAAAAATCTAAATTTGATGAATCACTCCTGTTGGAAAATGTCAGGCTTATCCCAGAAGAATACTTTCGTAGCTCAGTACCTTCTGATTCAGTCTTTTTCATATGCTGTGGGAGTGAAGTAGCGGCTGTTTCTATTCTCTTCTCCAGCTCAAAGATCTTTGCTAAAAGTCCTTTAACGTAGGCCTCTCGCTGCTGGTCATACACAAGCCACTGCTGATTTTTCTCCAGAGCCTTACAGTAAATGAAAAAAATCAACAGTATAAGAAAAAGCCCAGACCTTAAAATGTGTAAGGGGAATCCCCATGACATTCTCTTTTCCAACACATACAAAATCTTATGGCTTATACAATACCTACTGGCAGCCACTGCATGTACTATCCCTTTAGAATACATGACAGTCAGTTTCCAGGGGATTAATTTTGTCTGTATGCTACTTCCCATACACAGCTCACTTTGTGTTTATTATACATTATTGCCTGTGAACTAGCATGTTCAAATCTCACTTCTAGAAAGAGTTTTGACTCTAAGTCTCTATCCTTTACTCGTCTCTTGAAAATTTAACCAAATCAAAACAAAAGGAGTCTGTCAGGCAGCCCAGCCATTCCTACAAAACACATACTACTCCTCCTTGGTACCTTTCACCCCTTTTTGCTAGGGAAGGTGACAGTTTTGCTACTGAAAATAGGGCATGTTCAAGTGAGTAGCTACACAAGGGCCAGGCTGAAGCCTGTAACCCCGGCACCATAGAGTCTAAGGGAAGACCCTGAGTTGGCTATGTGGTACAACCTTGTTTCTAAGTAATTAAACAGCTGGGTGTAGTGGTGCACATTTAGTCTTAGCACTGGGGAGTCAGAGGCAGGAGGATCTCTATGAGTATGAGACAAACCAGGGCTATATAGTGAAGACTATGTGTTAGCTAGAGAAAACTACAAACCTGCTGTTAATGGGGAAGGGGACAAAGTCTAGAAATTCTAATACGCAATACACAATAACATTACAACTCCTTCCAATCTACTTGTTCAATCTAATAGAATAGATTAATTGTCCCCTCTTGTTCTATGATCCAGAGAGGCTAGAAATAAATCTAAACAATTATTTGTACAAAAAGGTCATGCACATCCAAACCTGATACTAAGTGCATGTTAAATGTTCTGGGTAATGCATGCCTTAAAGTGTAACATTCCTTCACAATGGTCAACCTCCTCTGGATTGAGTCCTGAAGAGTTTTGGCTCATGTTCAAATTTAACACTGTGTGTTACCAGGTCTAGTAGCACATGCCTTTAACTCCAGCACACGGGAGGCAGAGGCAGGTGAATCTCTGTGAGTTGGAGGCCAGCCTGGTCTACAGAGTGAATTCCCAAATACCCAGGGATGTAACACAGAGAAACCCTGTCTTGAAAAAACAAACAAAACAAAGAATACCATGTAACCAAGAGAGCAGATGTGTATATCTAACTACCTATAAACTGCAATATTACATATTAAAGATATCTAATTTTCTATCAAACTTTATACTTGTCCATCTTTAAGAAGTAGCAATACAAATAATTAAAATCTACATTAGTCATCAATGTTTTTCAAATGAACCTGTTGATACTTTACTCAAGTATATGAACTAAAAATATATTTAAGATTTCAGTTACAGGAAATTAATGATTGTTGACAAGGAACCAGTCTTTCCCAGGATGAGCCTCCTAACTGGCTATCCAATACCAAGTGATGAACCCTAAAAACAAATGGGCAACATTAAATGAACTGCCCATATTGTATTTATATTATTTATATGTACACATATATATAAATAAAGACAAAAATCTTTTTAAAGCATTAAGAGGTAATGCTCTTAAAAGCCACACGATGGCAATGTTACGTAACAAAGTAAGCTCTTCTTACTCCTATCTTTGCCTTGCACCAGCTTAAACACACTATTGTGGCCTGGGCAGCCTTTGACCTTGTAATCTTCCTATCTCATGTCCTCAAGCCACTAATATTACAGATCTAAGTCACCATGCTCATCTAACCAAACATTGTTTTCCTCTCCAGTTCTTTTATGCATCTACCCTTTCTTCTCTAATACTATCAATGACCAGCAAGAAAGCTCTCATTGTGATGAATGTCTCTAAACATTCATGGCTTTGAATGTTTAGAGACATCATCACATTAGTTATTCCTTCTAGCTTTGTGTCATCTATGCATACAGGAGGCATGACTTACATTTACCTTTAAAAAAAAAAAGTGATCCAGGTGTTGGTGCACACACCTTTAATCCCAGCACTTGAGAGGCAGAGGCAAGCAGATCTCAGTGAGTTCCAGGACAGGCTCCAAAGCTACACAGAGAAACCCTGTCTTGGTGGGGAAAAAAGTGAAGAGCATGATGAAGTACATTCCTCCTTTGGTGAGGATCTGCTAAGTACTCTGTGAACAAAAATTTCAAAATGCAAGCTGTACTGGAATAAAATATGTGAGTTCATTTGGTAAGACTGGATTAGGAATGGTAGGCTATGAGTATTATGTCTATGTTAAATTTACTAAGTTCCTGTGTAAAATGTAAGAAATGCATATGTAGGCAGGGCTAGATAATTACAGATAAGTACAGCTCCCTCTTAAATGGCTCAGAAAATGAAGAACTTTGTGTATTTGTGTAAGTGAAAGGTAAAAGGAAAAAAACTACAAAAACAAGATTAAAAATGTCATAAACAGCCAGGCAATGGTGTCACACACCTTAATCCCAGCACTGGAAAGCAGAGGCAGGCAGATCTCTGTGAGTTCAAGGTCAGCCTGGTCTACAGAGCTAGTTAGTTCCAGAACAGCTAGGGCTGTTACACAGAAAAACCCTATCTCAGGGGGAAAAAAATTGTCATGAAATTACATTTAGGCAAAGTATAAAAGTGATACGTGTTTCATTCTCATTCGTAGAACTTTTCTATTAATTTATATTTTTCTAAAGTAAAAAAAAATTAAATTACATACCTTTTCTAAGTCATTTAAAAATCCAATTTTGTAATGTAATGAAATGCCTACTATTTTCAGCTAGTTTTTAAGTTGGTAGTTGTAAAAAAAAAAAATGGTAACAGTTTTGACATTTGACAACATTTATGGCATTACTGATAGCTTCCTGCACAGACTATACTTCCCAGCTAGGCAACCCAACTCCAGAAGGGAACTGCGGGGGTGGGGATGGGGGTGGTTAATAAACTCATGGTAGTCATTTCCAATCCTTACCATTTTCCATGGGCCCGCATGCTGTGAGATGTTTGGCATAACCACTCACATGGGTGAGTTCTGCAACTTCCAAAACATGCAAGCCACATAGAAAACACTGGGACAAGGTAATTCATTAGACTTAACTTGGTGAAACCCCAATTATGTTTAGCAATCCCCATATTGCTCTAAGATTCCAAGAGCTTTCCAATGGCTAAGATTGGCTGAGAACTCCTGGAATTCTCCACTGACCAATAGCTAAAAGCTCTGGGAACCTTTCACTGGCCCTGCAGCCTCTTTGAATCTGAGATGATAGAAGGAGAAGATGTACCCCCTATTTTTATGGGGCATATGGCTCAACCACCCTCATGGGTGAGATCATGCCTCCTGGCTATGTGTCTACCAATAAACATGATCCTGCCTAAGGTCAGATGCACTGACCCTTCTGCCTTTGCGTATCTTTAAGATGCCTAAGAAATCTAACAATTATTACTAGGTAATTATTTCAAAATGTCTGACAGATCTAAATGGTGACTGGAAAATAAAAAACATACACATGCAGCTGAGCACTGGTGACCTACACCTTCAATCCCAGCTCCTGGGAGGCAGAGGCAGGCAGATTTCTGTGAGTTCAAAAGTCCAGCCTGGTCTACAGAACTAGTTCCAAGACAGGCTCCAAAGCAATACAGAAAAACCCTGTCTCGAAAAAAACAAACAAAACAATACACATGCGTACTTCTCTGGGAACTCTGAGATGGGATTAATTTCCAAGCTCTAACGAGGTGATCGCACCAGTGTAGAATGAGGAGTGAGTGGGATGAGATGTCTCTTTCCTGCTCTCCAAGTCTCCCAACTACAATTTTCTCCTCCTCAAAGATTTGCAGAGATCATCAAGAAACCAGAAGAGCTGAACTGCCTGGAGCTCTTCAGAAGTTAGGAATGATCCAAATGTGCTCTGGGACCAGCAGCTAAAGCAAGCAGGAAATGCAGCACTGAAGTCCCAGCCCAGACCATTAAACCTAAATCTAAATGTCAAGAAAATCATCTAGATTTTCATACACCCTTAGGAGCACAGCTGAGATTAGATTTAGCCTGCAGATGAACTGAGTTAGAATTTACTGCATTTGTGTAAGTCTTTCTCATGTAAACAGAGCTCCTAGCCTGAGAAAACATTCAGCAACAAGGCTATTCCTTTCAAGGAGTGGCTGGAAATCCAGCAGGACAGAAGGACACAATGAGAAAATGAAAGGTGTATAGGTAAATTCCCTAAACACAGGCATCTAATTGGTAGGTACTAGTATAAACAGAGGATCCAAAATCACTGTAAAATGACACTAAAATAAACCCTATTTAATAATTTTTTAAATTATATATATATTTCAACTACCTCCAGGTAAATACTTTGATAAGGTATAGGCAATCAAGATATTTAAATTCCTCTTTTGTAAGTCAAATAAACTTCAAGGGATACCTGCTAGATTAAATAAAACAGGAGTCTTAAGAATGTGCTTATCAGTATCAAGTGTAGACACACCCAGAGACACAGTTCTATAATCAGAATAGCTACCTAGTTACCTAAAAATAAAATCAACAACTTTCTACTTCACATATTTAATCTAAAACTTGAAAAAAATACAAATAGTCCTATGCCCTCAGTTTTTTCATTTCTAGAAAAACTTACTTATCCATTTATAAGCTTGTAATAATAAAGCTTTCTGATACATCTAACCTTATGTCTAATTCTAGAGAACTACTGAGTATACACAAAACATTTCCAGTCTTCTCAGAGAAAGACTTGAAGATAATTAATGAATACATACCAAATAGATTAAAAAAGAAAATTAATTAAAATAAATTACATTATAATAAAAGCAACTATTTAGGCAAATTAGATTCATGTGAAAAAGAATGCTAAGGTAGTTGGACGCTTTCAGAACTTTCTAGTCTACAGATACTCGACAATGATCTCGAACACTCAGCTCTCCAGCCTCAATAGATTTGTTTTACGTCATAACATTAATGCTTCCAATTTCTATGAAATTTAAGAACACATAAATTAATCCTCTTTACCCTCCCCCCAAAAAACTTACATCTTTCAGCTGCATTTCCTTTTCGTGAATACTACTCATTGATGAGTTGAAGCAGTTTGCAGGCATGCTCTGTAAATAACCCAATATTAGTTAATATCCACTTAACAAGTTTCATTATATTTAGTTCCATAAAAATACAAAATACTTCTCAAAGCATCCCAAACACACATTTGTACTACTGGTGAACCACTAAGGTGAGAATTACCAAGGGATTAACTACTGCCAGAACTAAATTCACAGGTAATGTTCCTAAGCCAACAGTTCTCAACATGTGGGTCTCGACCCATCTGCTAAATCTCTATCTCCAGAAATATTTACATAACGACTCATTAGTTATGAAGTAGCAACTAAAATAATTTTATGGTTGTGGGGGGGGTCACAACATGAGGACCCGTATGAAAGGGTTAAAGCATTAGGAAGGTTGAGAACCACTTCAGATATAATTTTACTCTGAGACTTCTGGATCCCACAATCCCCAAAACAACCTTTACTACATATAACTAGACCACTGAGTTTTCATCAAAAGGAGTCAAACAACTAGTCTATTTCAAAGAAATACACCAAACTGTTCAATATAAAGTCTTAGTATAGGTAGAGTATTCCTAAACAAAAATGGGATGGGACTAAACTCTGTATGTATGTGAAATTCATTTTATCTTTCCATTTGTTTGTTTGTTTGTTTTTTTAAGACAGGGTTTCTCTGTGTAGCCCTGGCTATCATAAAATTCACTCTGTAGACCAGGCTAGCCTAGAATTCAAAATTCTGCTGGCTACTAATGTCAGGCTATTTGTCTCATATACACATAACCTTTGACAAAATGTTTATAGTGTGCCTGGATTCTGGTTGTGTGTGTGAAATTTTCCACTTGATAACATTCAAAAGTTTCAGAGTTGGGAGACTAAAAATATTAATAAGTAACTCTTCAAATAGATTTCATGGAACTCAAAACTATTTCATAATAGCTCGCCTTTCTTCTTTCTCCCATAGAGATAAAGAGGGAAACCAAATGGCTATAATCCGGGACTACCGAGCAAACTCTAAAAATCCTACTTTCTGGACTTGGGGGGATTTTGGTGTTTTTCTAAGTACTGTAAGGGAAGACCTGTGTGGACATCAGGGCTGTTTGGGAAGACTGGAAACCTTTAGGGATGGAGTCTTGCTGTAGGAAGTGGGTCATGAGCGTCAGCCTTGAAGTTTTATAGGCAGGACTCCATTTTTTGTTCTCCATCAGCTTCCATGCCCTCCCCACGGTGATGGAATGATCCCCTCAGACTATAAACTAGAACAAACCTTCCTTCCTTAAGCACAGTCACAGGAAAAGTAACAGCATCACAACACAGAGAAATTACAACTCAAACTTATTCTTCTATGTACAGTATTACTAGTTGTTGGTAATAACCACGTGTCAAAAGAATCAATAAGTAAGCACTCAGTATATTCCAGGCTTCCTGCAAGGCGCTCTTCACTGGTTTTACTGATTCGAAATCAAGGCTTATAAAAGGACACTGACCAGCTCTAGCACTCTGTCCTTCCAGAGAAGCTAAGGGAATCACTCAGCTGGCAAAACTTAGTTCCTCTCAAACAAGAGGGAAAGAAACTGTATGTGCACTTAGGAAAAACTATTTGGTATAACTCTTTATCTCAAATAGGAAAACCAACCAAAACTTAAACCTAATAATACAAACTATAGAAAAAAGTCTCAGCAAAATCGTTCTGGACTATTGTAGTTACAGCATGGACTGTCTTCTGAATACCCATCTGGGTGAAACAATTGTGTGGGAGTGCAGGGAACATTGTTTTTATTTATGGAAGAGGACTAGACTAGAAAAACCAAAAGGAAGTGATCTGCAGGTGCAGGTGCATCACTTCACAAACATTAAAAAACACATTCTTCGTAAGAACTATAAATTGTAACAGACAGGGGGAAAACTGAGTTTAAAGAAAGTCTCAGGACCTGTGACAGATGGAGTGTACAGGCTTTGCTTTCCAGTTCAGAAAGTCTCTTCGTCGTGGCGGACAACTGCTTCTTCAGGACATCTGTCTCCTTGGATAAGGACTCTAACAGTTGCTGCTTCTTCCCACACTCCTTTGTCTTCTCTTCCAGCTGCTCGAGCAATGAGGAGGAACTATATTTTGCCTTTAGCTGGTCTTTGAGTCTCTGTATTTCTTTGTCCTTCTCTGTGAGGTAATAAACATTCTTCTCTCTCTCAGCTTCAAGAACTTGAATTTTCTAAATAAAAACTAAGAAGAATCTGAGAACTCAGCCAGGTCAAGCATCCAGCTAAACAATGTATTTCTGTAAGCATTTATGAAGTATTTACTACACATCAAATTTGATTTTATGACATCGGGACCAAAAGAATAAGGTGAAGCTCAGTGTCAGCTCACAGACACACAAAGTCCTTACATTCATGGCAGCTGTGTTCAAGTTAGCACATACACACACTGAAGAAAAGGCAGACAGAGAGGAAACCCATCTGCCTCAAGGGTGGTGGTGGGAGGAGGCTAAATCAATGCTTGTCACATTGCTGCAGCAAACAAAGCAAAGAGCCAAGAGAAAGGTGATTAAAAACAATTGTCAGAATGAATAGGCCAACAGGGCACCAATATGAATGTTAAGAAATGGGTCTCTAAACATTTACAAGGAAACCTCAATACTATTTAGTACTTTGAAGTGGATAAACCACTCAGGTATCTTAAATGCATAGATTATATATTTTTTTTAATTTCGTGAACTTATCAAATATAAAATAAAATCATGTAATATTTGAGAAAATATTTTTCTTCAACTATAGTTAAAAAAAAAAGAGAGAATGGCATAGCATCCCAAAAAGCATGGAAACAGAACATATAATTCCAAGTTATATAGTCAATAAAAATTATAAATGGTAAGCCAGTGTGTTTTACAGTCTTAAATACAACATGCTACAGCTTAAGTATGAACCCTCAAATGTACTTAACCCTCAAAGCAACAGTGTCAGACGTAATGGGATCATGAGGGCCAGACCTCAAGTGGATTCATGTGGTTGTCACGAGTCACTTATCAGTTACAATGAATTCAGCCCTGGCCTTCTTACATGCAAGAACACAGCTTGATCCTTACCAGATACTCTGTGCTTTTGGACTTTGTAGGTAAATCAATCTCTGTCTCTCTCAATACCCAGTCTGTAGCACTATTTTGTAATAACACAAAACAGACTGATATTGTATAACACATTTTTATCAGGAGTATTAAGAGAAGTAAGATAAACTTTCAAAAAGTTTAATGCCAGGTGGTGATGATGCATGCCTTTAATCCCAACGTTCGGGAGTCAGAAACAGTCAGATCTCTTGTCTGTGAGTTTGAGGCAAGCCTGGTCTACAGAGCAAATTCTAGGGCAGGCTCCAAAGCTACAGAGAAACTGTCTCAAAAAACAAACAAAGTTACATGATGAATACATTAGTTTATTAGTTTGTTTTCAATATTTGAAAACATATGTTAGGTGTAATGGCACATGCCTATAATCATAGCACTTTAATGTGGAGGGAGGGGAACCAGAAGTTTCAAGTCATTCTCACTTAGTTAACTCAAGTTCCAGACCAACCTGGGCTGTGTGAGACCCTATCTGAAAAAGCAAAACAAAACAACAACAAAAGTATGAGGGTTTGAAGAGTTGGCTCAGCAGCTGAGAGTACTTGCTGCTTTTGCAAAGGAATCATGTTTAGTTCCCAGACCCCTTATCATCACTTATAACCATCCAAACTCCAATTCCAGGGGATCTTCTGACCTCTGCAGGCACCAGGCACACATATGATACACATATATACAAGCAGGGAAAACACTCGCACACATAAAGTCAATCTTTTTTACAGTGAGGGGGAAAAACAGATCACAAGATCACAGCATCATACTAAAAGTACAAAACTATTAATCACAATGTCTTATTTCTGAAACAACTTAGTATCTGATAACCTCAAAACACATACTCAATAACTTTTAAAAGAGAGAATAATAAAGTACATCTAAAGGTTGTTAAAGTCAAAGTAGGAACCTAAGATTCCAATTCCAGATCAACTCTCAAGAACTAAAGAACAGGTCAAACAGGGACAAGAGAAGGAATGAGAATGCGGCATCCGCCAGCCAAGCTTTCTAGAATGTGTACACATTTAAAGGGCTCTGTGACCATTTACCTCCAAAAGTCTGCATCTGTCCTTATCAGTCACTTTTCCTTTCCCACTTGTGATTTCATCCAGGGATGTTTTAAAGGCTGCAATTTCTCCCTTAAATTTCTCTAATGCAGTGTCCGATTTGGAGCTGCTAGGCCTTGATCCCCACTTGCTTTTAATTAAATCCTTGGGACTTCTGGAAGACATCTTTGAAATGATCTGTGAAAAATAAATAAACTGATTAATTAATATTTTAAATTCAGCTGCACTTGAAGTTTAAACATTTGTATTTCAGACCTGGAAGAGGCCTTACGCCTGTTTTGCTCTAAATAGAAGTGATTTATCTGAATCAGTGGAATCCAGAAAGAAAACCGAGGGAGATTTCTGGGATGTTCTAATGAATCTTTTTTTAAAAAAATCTCAGGTAGTAGATACAAGGGAAATATCTACTTTCTAGAAATATGACAACTTGTATACTTATATTTGCTATTGTTTGAGTAGGTCTTTTAATACAGCCCAGGCTGGTTTGAAACTCACTATGTAACCAGGATGGCATCGGACTCACATCACAATCTTCCTGCTTCAGCCTCCTAGGTACTGGGGTTATAGGCTTGCACCACTCTGCCTGGCAATAACTGTAAATTAACAGAAAGTTTTTGTTTACAAATTAATGGAAGGGTTCCCAAACTACATGGTCAAGGAGATTATACCCAAGAACAAAAAAGCCAGTGGTGATCAAATTCTAGCTTATGGGCATTATAAGTCATTAATGTGTCCTCTGTTTTAGAAGGTGTGTCTAGTTAAACTCTATCTTAGTAGTCTTTTGAGAGGACAGTGGGAAGAAGTGAGGAAATCCAACATGAGACGTTTATAGAAAAAGAGGTACAACAGTCAGAAATTTGGGGATGAAAGGAATTAAGAAACCAAATGAAATAAGAACAAGTTTCATATCTGCTAACAATACTAGATGACAGTTTAGAAGCAAAGGTGTAATACAAACTCTAGCAGGCAAATGTATAACAAAATGTACTGTACATATAGGTTAAAAAAACAAACATTTTTCTACCTTGTACGTCCTGTGATAAAAATGATGGCAGTGTGACTAAGGAATCTAAAGGAAGATGAGACCATTAATTTATGCATTCAACGATTACTACAGAGCCAGGCGTGTTGAATCCCAACACTCAGGAAGTGGAGGCAGGATGACCAGGAGAGGAGGCCAAGGATAGATAGTCTCATTTGCTATCTGTGCAGGCTGGGCTGCACAGAACTGTTTAAACAAACAACAACAAATTACTACAGAGCCTATTTACCAGATAAACTAATAAGAACTGGGTTAAAGCAACCAGAGGAAGAGAAGACAACTCAGGAGGAGGAGAAGACAACCGGGCTCTGATGCCAGGAAGACTTCAGTACAGTGAGGCAGGCAACAGCAATGTAACAACAGAACCACAGATTCACACATTCTCAAACTGAAAACAATCAGGGGAAATAACATAGCCATAAAAGCAGCCAATAAAAACAGGTGATGCATGCCTTTAATCCCAGCGCTGCTGGGAGGCATCGAGAGGCAGAGGCAGGCAGGTATCTGTGAGTTCGAGGTCAGCCTGGTCTACAAGAGCTTCCAAAGCCAAAGAGAAACCCTGTCTGGAAAAACCAAAACAAACAAAAAAACAGGGAGATATACTTAGGGTGGTCAGTGTGAGGTTATCCTGTGTGAAATCAGCCTAAAAATAACAGAACTGTATAGGCTAAGTAAAATAAAGGCTCTCTCTATATACACATCAAAGCATTCAGCCTCGATTTTTTCCCATTATCCCGTCAAAACACTAAGTAAGGTAGCTGGTACAATCCACTGAAGCAGACGCAATTATGTCTTAGGACCTGCTACTACAAAAGTCTCTCCCTGTGCTTCTGCTGATGTCACCAAGGAGGACTAGAAAAGAAACTACCTAAAGTCATTGAGACAAGGAAGGAATAGATCAACACCATTGCAAAGAACCTTCAGGACATTTGCTTCCGAACTTTGGGAGAGGCCTCCTAAATGACCCGTGTTCCTGACTCTGGTCTAGACCGACCTAGCCCATTCTTCCCCACCTGCAGCCCTGCTCACATCTAGTTCTACCGGCTTCCTTTCCCAGGACTTCCTATTCCACTCACTCATAAAGTTCCAGTCAGGGCCTCGCCATACATACACAGGCTAGTAGTCATAGTAGTCAGTTATACCTGCTCCCAACATTTTTGCCAGTCAATAATCGTTCGAAAGAACTGTATTTTAATTTTCTTTTATTTTTTTTGGTTATCCAAGAGCTTAAAGGCAGATGCTCGGAAATTTCTGAGTGGGCTGAAGAAAGAGACCAAAGAAGTATTTCCATTCAGTAAATCGCACTAATTATCTATGTGGAGGCCAGGAAAGAGACAGGAAAATAAAACCTGCAAAGAGAAGCGCTTGCTAACAGCAAAGGCCGAAGGCACCAGAGACCTGCGTCAGGTCACTGGCCTCTCTCTGCTAAGCGATAAATACCGCCAAGTCGAAATGAATCGAAAGGATGGTGGTCGACGTCGACGGAAACAAGCATGGGTTTCAGCGAGCCGAGACGGAGTCCAGAAGCCGCGACCTGCCCTCCGGCACCGCCCCCTGTGCGGTCCTGTCGAGCCCTGGGGCTGCGGCCCCGCCGTCCTCTCTACCCTCCCGGCCGAGGCCCGGGCCACTCAGTACCTGAGACCAAACACAGCGCTCGCGTCGCTGCGTCAGACCCCCTGCAACTCTCCAGTCTGGACACCGCTTCCGGGAGTTTGAATCCCGCGGCTACGCGACGCGACACGTCACTGCCGGCTTGGCACAGGGCGGGGCCTGCAATCAGGGCAGGCGGGAGAGGGCGGGGCCTGCAATCAGAGCAGGCGGGAGAGGGCGGGGCCTGCAATCTGAGACAGGCGGGAGAGGGCGGGGCCTGCAATCTGAGACAGGCGGGAGAGGGCGGGGCCTGCAATCGGGGCAGGCAGGAGAGGGCGGGGCCTGCAATCTGAGACAGGCGGGAGAGGGCGGGGCCTGAAATCTGAGACAGGCGGGAGAGGCGGGGCCTGCAATCGGGGCAAGCGGGAGAGGGCGGGACCTGCAATCGGGGCAGGCGGGAGAGGGCGGGGCCTGCAATCTGAGACAGGCGGGAGAGGGCGGGGCCTGGAATCGAGGATGGAGGCGAAAGGGAGGACCCAGGAGCCTGAGGGCGGGGCCTGGAACCTGAGGCAGGCGGGGCGAAGGCGGGCTCTGGGATCTGAGGAAGGGGCTTGGAGCTACAGGGCAGGCTGGATAGGGGTAGTGCAGGAAACTTTAGAGCTGGCGGGCACAGACTGAGACAGGAGCACTGGGTCTCCAGGCTAACCCGAGTGGGACTACGTGTGTGTGCATGTGTGTGTGTGTGGGTGTGGTTCGGGGAGAGCCGGGCGTGGGGCCTGGGGATGGTAGGAACAGGGCCAAGGACAGACTCGGACACCCCGTTAAATCTGGGACTGCCTGCTTTTCTCTGCGGGTTCTGACTCTGCTGCTCCCCATAAGACTAGCTCTGTGACCCTCGTCTGGGAATGACCAGTGGTGTGCGTTCTTTGAGAACCAGCTTGTCTCTGTGTAAGATGTGGAACCCCTCCATCTCCAGGATAACTGGGTTCCCCAGGGAAGAACAGCTTCCTACTCTTCACGGTGGACCGCCGATTTCCTCTAAAGTCATGAGCAGAGTGGGTCGCTGCGCTGATAAGATCTCCCAGTTTGAAAACTGAGATTGTGAGCCCCAGCAGCCACTTCAGATTGCTGCTCTACTGACGGAAGTGTCTTTATCAGTCAAGTCTGGGTCTTGGTTGGCGTCCTTGAGAACTTTATTGTTTGCTAGGGCGTTGTCTTTCTAAGACCGAAGGTAAACATGCCAGAAATTTACAACGAAAAATTCAGTAGAAAAAAAAAAAAAGAAGAAGAAGAAAGAAAAAAGAAAAACTCAGTAGCAAAAGCATCCTGGGAAGGTTCTGTAGTACAGGGGTTAAACTCCTGAATGCCTTTTATTAGATGTATGACCTTGAGTTCAACAGGTAGCCTCTTGGAGTCTGTTTCCTGATACTATCTCATAGTGTGGCTGTGAGGGTTAAATGATAGAATCGATGGGAAATGCTTAGGGCATAACAAATGTAGTATGCTAAGTAAAAGATAACAAACCCTGGCGTTACTGAGTCAAGTGAATGAGAAACCATGTAAGGAATTTCAGATTTTTTTTTTTTTTTTAAGGAGGAAGTTGGCAATCCAAAAAAAACAGGATTCTGCTTCCTCCTTCCTGAAGTCCATGGATGGAGAGGCAGAGATGGAGAAGGAATAGTGTATTATGTATTATGATTTGTTAAAGCTCGCCTGAGGATTCAGAAAGCAAAGTTAGCCAGAAGCCATAGAAGCCAGGCACACATCTTAAATCCCAAAACTCAGGATGAAGAGGTAGATGTATCTCTGGTAGCTCAAGGCCACACTGAGCTATAAGAAATATATCCAGTCCTAAAGATAACAGCTCATACAAAGATGGTCTCAGCACCTGGGATCACATGCCTTTAATCCCAGCACTAGAGGGGTATAAAAGATAGGAGCAGGGTCTTCAGGAGTCAGTATCAGCAATTGGAGGATTCATTCTCCTGTTACGTTGAGGATAGGAAGGATTCATTCTCCAGCAACACTGAGGATAGGAAGACATTCAGTCTCAGGATTCTCTAGCCATGCTGAGGAGCGGCAGCAGTCTGAGATTTGATGGAGTCAGGATTGCCTTTCAGTCTGAGACAGAGTAAGAGCTAGTGCCCAGCTGCTTTGCTTTTCTGATCTTCAGCTTGAACTCCAATACCAGTCTCTGGGCCTTTTATTTATGTTTTGTGTGTTACAGAATAACCTTATTAACCACATGGTGACATACTAGAAGGCTTTTGCCTTTCAATGGTCATCTGACCCCCAGTCATGTTTTTCAAGTGAAGGTATGCAGGCCCCAAATAGATGGAGTCTTTAGCAACCCAGTGTTCCAAAGAGCAGCCTGTTCTGGTGTGCTGGTGTAAGGATGGAAAATACAGCCTAACTCTCCAATGATCCCAGGAAGCTAGAAATTTAAAAATATTATCTAAAAAGCCCTAAAAACCTCAAATTCCAGACCCTGTCCTCTGCCAGTAAATAGGCGAAGGTCACACTCCTTGTTGCTTAGACAGTCAGACCCTTGAGTAATCCCGGCCTAGTAAGATAACAGAAAATGGGCTGACTAACCACTTATCTGACTTCGTAAATGGCTTGTGAAACCCCCCCACCCCAGTGACCTAAGTAACTGCCAATTATCACTCCACCCAAGAGCCCACACCAATATAGCTATAGAAAAACAAAAAAATTGATTGGCCCACACCATGTGGGATCTTGACACTTTGGGATGATTGTTTTGGTGTGTGGGCTTTGTTTTAAGCTCTATAAAAACTGTCTCAATTCTGCTCTCGAGGTCCTCAGTCCTCTACCCCTGCGTGCTGTATGACGGTGAACCCCAGTGCACTTGGAATTAAAAGTCCTCATGCTTTTGTATTAAGACCGCTTCTCGTGAGTGATTTGAGTGGGAGCGTGAAGGTTCGCGCTCTGCAGGTCTTTCACTGGCTGTTCGCATCTTACCATTCTTTACATAGAGCCGTAAGGAATGCAGGTCAACAATTCCGTGTCTGGCTGTTGTTGTGACCAGCTTTTCTGACAAGCACCCTTTCCAGCAAGTTGACCTCTCATGACTTGGGACTAGGGAGTGCTCAGGAGGGGGAGGGTTGTGTTTCTAGCTGACTTCAGTGAGCAGGTGATCTATCTACAAAAGCTGGATTTCAGTGGGCAGCTAATTCTGGAGAGTACAAGATGGAGCAAGCAGAATGGGGGCGTTGTGTGTGCTTTCATTTCCAGGAAACAGTTTTGGTTATCTTCGTATTTGTGTGTTAAAGTGTCAGAGGGGATTGGGGGTGAGAGAAAGTTTGTCACAATGAAGGAAGATGTGAATATTTGCTGCCCAGCCTCCAGATAAGAGGGAAAATTAGAATAAAGTGTGGGGGTATGACACACACCCACACACACCCCCACACACCCAGCGGTGGGGCTTTAAAGCCAAATGGGAAGCATAGAATAGAGGAGGCATAGGGAAGAGATGGCGGCAGGAAGGTAACAAAAGTACACCTGACTGGTACTGGAATCTATGGGACCAGACACTGCAACTCTACACCTGCCCTTCAGGACCTTGGTTCTGTTGGGAGCTGCGCTATGAATAGGAACTACTAGAGAGAGGAGCAGAGCAGAGGGAGGCTCATTGGGAGGCTTGGTTAATTGTTTTGTTTTGTTTTTCAAGACAGGGTTTCTCTGTGTAGCACTGGAGCCTATCCTGAAACTCACTCTGTAGCCCACACTGGCCTCGAACTCACAAAGAGCTTGGTTAATTTTGTAAAGGCTGTCGTTGGATCTAGACATCAGTGTTTGCTCTTTATAGACAGGAGCTGCCAGTCAGGAAGCTGCTGCAGCTGGCTGTTTCCAAGCTGGTCACATTCTCAAGGTGATGCTGCCAGTTCATCCAGGGCTCATCTTTATTCATGAGAGGAGAAAACTGGGACAGGCAGCAGAGAAAGTCTTTATCTCAGCAGGAGAGCTCATTTCCTCCCCAGTAGGAAAGTGCTCTTAAGAAACAAACACTGTCAAAGGCTACTGCATGGCTTCAGACTCACTAATTGGAAATCTGGAGGCTCTTTTGATTTGAAGGATTGCATCTTCCAGAAGGTCTTTCATGTGTCCTTTGGACCCTGCCTGAAAACAGGCCTCCATGTCTCATAGAACATTCTGCCATGACAGAAAACTGCTGGTATTGCCAAGCAGTGATGGCACACGCCTTTATTCCCAGCACTCAGGAGGCAGAGGCTGGCAGATCTCTGTGAGTTCAAGACCAGCCTGGTCTACAAGAGCAAGAACCAGGACAGGCTCCAAAACTACAGAGAAACCCTGTCACAAAGAAAGCAAAAAAGGAAAGAAAACTCTTGGTGCTCTGTCCAATATGGCAGCCTTGGCCTTGTCTGGCTGATGACTGCTTGTAGCATGGTCGCTGTGAGAAACTGAGTTTTAAATTTTACTTAGTTTTGTTTTAGAACTGACACCTAATTCCATTATTAGAAAAAAAATTAAGTATGTTTGCAAAAACATTTGGATACAGGAGCTAGTGAGATGGTTCAGCGGGTAAAAGCTCAGGCTACCAAGTCTGAAAACCTGAGTTTGATCCTCAGGATCAACACAGTAGATGAGTTACTGACTCTATAAGTTTGTCCACATACAAATTAAATTGATGTGATAAAAAAAAGGGGGGGCATGTACATATCTTTTGAGCTGTAAATCTTATAAAATTTAAATATAGGTCAAATTCTTCTGATGAAAACTTTATGTCCAAAGTGAGATCTTATACACATAGCAGATTTTAAAGACTTAGTATAACAATAGAATCTAAAAGAGTATACTAATCCTTATTTATCTTCTTATATACTCAAAACCATAATATTGTGGATTGACTAGTTAAAATAAAACACTGAAGTCAATCTTAACTATTTGTGTTTATTTTTCAGTGTGAGTACTGGGAAGTCCAAAATGGTGAATGTGACTCATGTTACATTTCTTTAGGACAGCACAGTTATGTATATAAGAAAGGTTCTTTACTGCAAGGTGTTTTGGTTGGTTGGTTGGTTTTTCGAGACAGGGTTTCTCTGTGGCTTTGGAGCCTGCCTGGAACTAGCTCTTGTAGACCAGGCTGGTCTCGAACTCACAGAGATCTGCCTGCCTCTGCC